ACACACACACACACACACACACACACACACACACACACACACACACACACACACAGATAGGGCTGTCTGTGCCTTTTGGCTCACGTAATCCGCTGCAATAATTCAATAATTAAAGCGTAAAAACCATAACACACACACAAAGACACCCCCCCCCAAAAAAAAAAAAAAAAAACCGAGGATGCTGAACATGAGAATCTGTTACTCTCTTTATAATAAAGCTTCATTGTCTCCTCTGAGTGTGTAAAAGAAAACAATTTTGATTTTGATTTAGAAAATACCTTCAACGGATCCTCTTCCGCGGAGTTTGTTCCACCTGGATTGGAGACTTGGAGAGGAGACAGGCGGTCATGTCACTCGGTTTTATATCAGCAGGCCTCTTTCGTTTCACGTAGAAGTCTGTGACAAAAGAAACAACAATAGTGAAAAATTAATTTGGATTTATGAGCCGTTATGAAATGATGCGCTGCGCACAGCGGGAGGAAAGGAGGATGGTGTGGATGCTGGTCTAGGAGCCAATAGCAGGCTCGATTTTCAAAATACGAAAGCCGCTGAATTTACCTGTGATGTGTGTGTTGCTGTCAGGAGCGGCCGTTCTCTTGCGCCTGACACACGGGAGCTGCCTGGTGGTCGCTTTCCCTGAGTTGATCTTGTCTATGCGGTTCTCCTGGTTGATCTCCCCCGCGCAAGGAGAGCTGCTGCTCTCTGGCACGGCCAGGCGATCCAGTGCGTCCGCACGAGGGCTCTCCGGGAGAGCAGAATCCGACGTGGGCACGGGCACTCGGATTTTGCCGTCCTGCACAGAGTCCTGGTAAAACACCGGGGTCTTATCCGCAGTCACCGCCTCCCACTCGTAATCCCCTTCCAACGGGGTGTTGGCCTCGAAATTAAAGTTCCATCTCTGCTGGTCCCGTTCGGAAATCTCTCGCAATTTTTCTTTCATCTCCCGGTTCAGCTCGTCGTGATCCACCGGTCCGAAGAGGTTTCGACAGACTCCGGTGCGCCTCTGGAGAGGGAAGGTCTTCCTGGCCACCATCCTCTCTAGCGTGGTTGATAACTGGACGTGGGACATCTCCAAAAACAAATTTCCCCTGGAAAAAAAAGAATCCAAAGTGATAGACTGATCCCTGCTGAGGTTGTATGTTGAGAAATGTTGTTGACGTTCAGCCCGAAGTGCGTTTGTATGTGTATCCTAATTCTTACGCTCGTGCCTATGCACGCCGCACCGTTCCGTTTAAATGTACAGCTTTCATAGTAAGTCTTTGGAGTATATAACCTCCTAACGGGCACCTTGATCGCCCTTCTCATTGGTTGCCTTGAAGTCCAGCCCTCTCCAAAACCCCCACCCTGATTTCCCATTTCCCGTTGTACCTATTGGCTTCGTGCCGACCAGAGCGCAGCATTTTGATTTTTTCTCTCTCTGAGTGTCAACCCTCGGGAAAACGGAGCAGTTTTTTTCTTGTGTCAGCAGGAATGTGTTTTACTTCGCATTTGTGTATCTGATTCTACTTTCGGACACCTTGGTTTTTGGTTTTGTCTTCCGTGTTTAGTTGTAAATGCCTCCGACCAAGGGCGTAAAAACGCACCATCACATTATTTTCATACTTCATATTTAGTGTTCAGCAGTTGAACAGCTTCAGTGTGTTATTCTTTAATGTGTAAGGAAAGAAAAACAAATGCTGAAACCCGATCTAACCACTTAACTGATGTTTGACCCTGCCATCATCCGGCACATAAATCCACCCACTTTTCGATTTCTTCACGTTTTCGTTTATTTATTTATTTTTTGTCGCCGATCGCAATGACAGCGATTCCAGTCTGCGGGGATTTGCCCCACAGTGAGCAACTCTGTCTGCAGTACAGAAGCAACGTAAACATTAGTGAGACCTCAATAAACCACAATTTTAGCAGTTTCTTAAATGTCTTTTCTCATTTACTTAATAAAGCAAGGCAACTTTTCGAAATCATTTTTTCTTTTCTAAATGCGTTTTGTTGCATTTTTTTATTCATTTTTTTAACCTTAATATATAATATAGCAAATCGAGAATTTAAGCACCACGCCGTGTTATTTTTGGCAATTAAACATGTACGTCTATCCACTCATAAATGCATAAATCACGCAGGTCACAATCCGCCTGTTATCACTAATGTGTGCGTGTGGCTCTGGGGATTGTTACTGGTAAATAGTCATTATTACTTATGAATAACTTCAAAATATGTACAGTAGCATTTACTACAATACAGGATTTACGTTTTAAATATCATAGCAAGCTTTATTATAAGGGGAGACTCGGGGAGCTCATTCTCCGCCGAAGACAATGCGATATTTGGCAATTTTGAAGAAAATGATCCGGATCCACACCAAAATGTACTGAGTGCTTCAGCTGCCAGTGTTTCACCACACAAACGAGTTTCCAGAAATTCCGCTGTATTTATTTATTTATATTTTATTTTTCTCGTGTCGTGCTGACAGTCAGGCACTGGAAGCACAACTTCCAGAAGTTTGACTTCAGGGTACCGGCTGTCTTAACAAGCAGGGAAACAGTCACGAGAGACGGGCAACGCCTTTTTGCAAGCAATGATGGGTGCATGGCGTCCCGTAGAGGTTCCAGTCTGATACTGCAGCTCAAACCTCAAACTAAACGCAACCATCATCCCCAGAAGAAAATAAAGGAGCAAGACTTACAGTGTATCACCTCCTAGTTTACACATGTGCACATAGATATTTTTAAGTGACACTGGTAACATATTCAGGGGAAAGTCTCTATAAAAATTTTTTTATCCACATTCATCCTGAAAAGGAGGATGAATGCAAGCTCTGTGTAACAACATGATGTCACATAAGGTCAAGAGGTTTACATGTGAGCGTCATCAAAGCAGCATGAAGAAGACCGAGGGACGCAGGGTCTGGCCATATGTGTGCAGGCTTCCTAAAACACTTCCAGTAAAGGTCAGGTGGTCTCATGTGACAGCGACAGTAATATGTGACACTTTTCCTGATTCGGGACTGTAAACTGAATCCATGAGGACTGAAACGATATTATAAGGGTGTAACGTTCATTAGAGGGTTTTTTTTAATGATTTTGAAAATAATTAGCTTTCTTTTTACAAGAACAATTAATTGTCTATTAAGAAGAAGCATTTAAAGCACGCATGCTTGAACAATGCTCTTCAACAACAACAAAAAGATTTGTTTTTGAGTCTTTTAACCTTGAAGTGGCCATCCTGGCTAGATGAAATGTGCTTTAGTGATTTTGTTTAATAAACATGCTGCATAGCACAAATTTGTCAGTCTACTCCTGAAGATTTTACGGGTATTTGTTCAATGTTTAGTGGAATTTTCAGTTTCTTTTCACTACACTGTATTGTTTGCAGTCATAGTTCACAGAACTAAGATTGTTTGTGTGTGTGTGTGTAAACCACAAATCAGTCCACTCACAAAAACAGCATGGTCACTTGAGGATTAAAGTGAAAATGAACGTAAGCGGGCAGAAATCTGACTGTTGTCTTTTGGCGCCCCCTGCTGGTAATACAAGTTTACTAAAATTTGACCCAGCTGGTGAACCTAATTTGAAGCCATGTAAAGTCAATGTAAATGAATAAACACATAAATCGGTTTTATTTTGCTTATGCTGATGGTAACCAATTAACTGCACACACAACATCCTCCTAAGCAGATCACAGATAAGGTTGATCAGTGCCTCTGCTGCTGGTTATTTACATATAACTCAGTGCAAACCAAAACTTATCTCATCACTTCGCTCAGTCCCAAGCTGGTTACAGATTTGCTTCACAATTCTTTGATTGTGGGAATAACTCTTCTGCTCCTCGGGTGTACTCCACCAGCTGATACTATCACCTGATGGTTTCAAAGTGCAAAGAGAAAGTCTGGATTCATTCGTCTTTCAAAGGGGAAAATAATCTCTTTCATCAGGAGTGGTCAGTCAGCTATGTAGCCTGACTCATTTAGCTGACACATGCAGGAGTATGATTCTTTCATCTTCTCACACACACACACACACACACGCACACACGCACACACACACACGCACACACGCACACACACACACACACACACACAC